GATCAGCAAAGTCTGTTATCATCCATTACAAAAACTGGAACCCCATTGCAATCTGCAAGCTCTCCTTTTGTTGTCCCATCTCCCTCTACTCCCATAGAAAAGGGCATTAATTGGATCCCTCGTGATGGCTCCAGAATTTATTTTTGGCGAGATAGATGGCTCTTGAAGGATCCTCTTTGTTCTTTGTTTCATGGTCCTTTCAGGCCGCATGACCTTAATCTCACCTTGAAAGATATTTTACTTCCTAATGGTAGATGGAATCTGGATCATGTTGCCTATCCTCTACCTCAAGATATCATTCAAAGAATTGCTGCTACTCCTATCCAGAAACATAGTTCTGAGAAAGATTCCTTTATTTGGAATTCGTCTTCGAATGGCAATTTCTCCATGGCAAAGAACATTCAATGGTCAAATGAAGATGATTGGTCTTGGATTTGGAAAGTCTTAGGCACCTTCTTTTTGCTTGCATATTGCATTTTGCTTGTCATCCTTTTTGGTCTTAACTAGTTTAATAGATTGAATTCTGATGCATGATGTGATACTATTTACCCTAGATTTTAATGTTATTTGAGTATGTTATATGTGATTTTATTTGATTCTACATAAGTTTTGTTGGTTTTGTAAAGAAGAACTCAATCGTAAAAAATTAGAAATTTTAGAATTAAATTGCAAAATTTTTTAAAATTTAAGGATCCACATTGTGAAGAAATTAAAATTAAGGACAAAATTAAAAGAAGTATGAGAACTCAAGTGTTAATCAGATACATATTGAAGGATAAAAGTTAAAGCACTTATGATTTAGAAAAGATAATATCCTTTACTTCACTGCCACTTTGGTAAGGAGACGCCAAAAAGGTTCATATTTTTAGGGTTAAGGACCAAATGGCTTCCTTCTTCAGAGTTAAAAAATTGAAAAGCGGATTTAATCACTTAAATTATTAGCCCCTATCATGAATTTATTTCATATTTATTTTTTATGTAATAATAGTAATTTAAAGTTTTAAATTATTTTGATAAGTTAACAATTAAGTATATCTTTATATAAAATAAAGAATTGAGAATATAGAAACACAAAATTTAGTTTTACGATCAAAAGTTCTTTGGAG